CCCCCCCCCATCTTCCATGTTCCAAATTGTCTACAATGTGGCCAGGTGCGCTTGTTGGGTCTTCCCTTTGTCCTTGTCACCATCCCCGCGCCCGACACTCACCCCTGCATCCGATTGCCCGTGCCCTGGCGACCCACCAACCACAGCACGGCCCTTTGCTACTTCCTACCGGCCTACCACGCTTACAAGGCCCTGGATTCGGGCGACCGGCGACGCGAGCGCGGAGCCCTAAAGGCTTTGGCCACTGTGTCGGTGTTCAATTTCCTGGAGTTCACCCTCCTGGATATGTTTGTTTCGCCAATGGTCCCCTTCTATGGCCTGATCAAGCTGGGCTTCATTGTGTGGCTTTCGCATGGGCGAATCAACGACACGGACCCGGATGCGGCCGTCGACACGGACGAGGCCGCTGCCTCGGCCGTCGTCCAGGCCAACGCCTCCGGCATGGCGCTTTCCTCGGCCGATGCCCCGGTCACGAAGCCGGGGCGTCGCTTCGGCTTCGGCCTGGGGGCCATGCGTGGCGCGCGTTATCTCTACCGACATCTGATCGAGCCGTGGTTCCGTCGCAACGAGCCTTCCATTGACGGCTACTTGGACCTGGTGTGTGCGCCATCCCTCAAGCAGTCCCTCCTTGTCTCCTTCTCTCTCCGGCTCTCACGGGGGCGCTCTTCCCTTCTGTGTCTCTCTTCCCCCCCTCCCCCTCTCTCTCTCTCTCTCCCTCTCTCCCTCTCTCGGTATCTTGATCTCGCGCCTTGCTGACCCCCTCCCTCCATCGGCCCCTCGCCTGTCCTCCTCTTGGCTCCACAGTTCAGCCAGCGCACGGCCGAGATTTCCACCAACCTCATTGATCAGTCGCAAAAGATGGCCGCGCCGGTCATCGACCAGGCCCTTCAAACGGCACAGCATGCTGTCACCGGGCAATTTGCTGCTGGGCCCTCCTTTGCTCCAGGTTCGTCGAGCGGCCCGCCCCCGCCGGCCTACTTCCCGCCCACCGGTGCCGAGGGGCAGGGCTTCCCCCCCGAGCCGAGCCCCAGCGCCACGCACATTCTCTCCGGCCTGCTGTCTCTCCTGCCGGGCGCCGCCTTCTTGGTGAATGGCCTGCTGGCGGCCAACGCCCCGGCTGGCGTCTTCCCTCCCCCTCACGGGGGCATGGGCATGGGCCAAGTGCCTCGCCGTCGCCCGGGTGTCCACCCGTCGTCGCAGTATGCTGACATTTCGCAGAGCCGGATCGTCGTCTTGGAGGATGAGGATGACCTGGAGCCGGACGGCTTCGGTGGCGGGCCATTCGATCAGGACACAATCGTCATCGATGGGCCTTGGCCACCGGCGCCTGATGATCCAGATGCTCGAGCCTTCCAGCGCCGGACGACTTTCTGAAGCAGGTGCACTGTCAGAGGCTGAGCCAAGCAGGGGGGGGGGGGGGGGGGGGGGGGGGGGGGGGGGGGGGGGGGGGGGGGGGGGGGGGGGGGGGGGGGGGGGGCGACTCGCCATGGATGGCCCACTTTGCCTCGGGCCGGTGGGCACAGTTCACCTCGCGCGCTTGTCTGCCTTCCTCTTTCCTTCCCCTCCCCCTCCTTTCGTCAGATACAATACAACCATATAGACATTCCTTCCGCCGCCCATGCATGCATATCGATGCCACACACCCAATGTGCCCCCCCCC